TATTATTGATGATATATTATATTTCAAAAATTGGTAAAAATATGAATAAATATTCCCCTTTTTCACATTTTCTATTTTTTAATTGCTCATTCAATGAAGAGCACACGTTAATTGTATATTTCATATATATTGCATACATATAATTCAAAAAATATATTTTTAGAAATAAATATAGCGTATATTAGTCAGATATTGTTGTAAGATTTAGGTACTTACAGCTTGTAGGAAGGCATGAGGACGTTGAGGATTATATGATAATAATCTTTATTATCCATTTGGCAAGAAAAGACAAAGTTATGGTAGCGAACAGTTATTGTAATATAGAGAAGAAGGTAAACAAAACAGTTGTGATGATGATAGGTCCAGTGTGGCGCTAGCTGTCGTAGCATTCAGTTATCCAACAAATCCCCGGCATGAATGTGGAGACATCACGAGGTTGTAGCGTAACTTCTCAAATGTCGGCCTTGGTAGCGGCTTGGTCAGAATGTCCGCCTTAATGTCGCCCGTTGGGCAGTAGACCATTTTTATCACTGTCTTCTTCTGAAGATCCTTCAGGTGATGGATCTTGGTTGCGATGTGCTTGGTTCTAGAAGACACTTTTTCGGATGAACATATCTTGAGACATGATTGATTGTCTTGGTGGAAGTAGATTGGAGCTTTCTGTTCCAGTTCGAGATCCTTTAGCAAGTCGAGAAGCCATAACAGTTCTTGTGAGGCTTCAGCTGCGGAGATAAGTTCCGCTTCGGTGGATGAGAGAGATACGCAACCTTGTTTCCCAGTCATCCATGAGATGGGGTTTGATCCCAGTAGGAACAAGTTTCCGCTTAGTGATTTTCTGTCGGTGTTGTCGCTTGCCCATGTGGCATCACTGTATGCTTCCAGTGTGGGAGGTTTTTGGTTAGATATGCGTAGCTCGAGTTCTTTAGTAGTTTTTAGATATCTTACGATTCTTTTTGCTGCATTCCAGTCACAATTTCTAGGATTCTGGTTTCTGCTGCTGAGTATGCAGACTGGAGCTGCGATATCTGGTCTGGATACTACGCTTAGGTACAATAGTGAGCCTATCAGTTGTTGGTATTGGACGTTGTTTGGTAGAAGTTTTTCATCAGATATACCGGGGTATCCGCTTTCCATGGGAGTGAAAGTAGGTTTCGCTTCTTGGAGATTGTACCTTTCAACTAATTCTTGGATTTTATTCTTTTGGCTCAGAAGGAGTTCACCTTCTCTGTTCCTTGAGATTTCTATACCAATGAATTGAGTGGGGTCTCCAAGGTTCTTTATTTCGAATTCTTTTTCGGGAGTTTTTACAGTGTTTTGGATGATTATTTCGGAATCGCTTGCAAGGAGCATGTCATCCACATATAGAATCAAGTAGATGGAATGGTTTTCTTCATTCTTGGTGAATAGGCATGGGTCTACAATGCTCTGTTTGAAGTTATTTTTAATTAGAGTGCTTGCAATTTTTGTGTTCCAAGATCTTCCAGCTTGTTTTAGACCGTAAATTGCCTTCTTTAGTTTGCAGACTTCGTTAGTTTGTTTTGTATGGAGTCCTTCTGGGAGTTCCATGTAGAGTTCTTTATCTAGGTCGCCGTGTAGGAACGCTGTCTTCACATCGAGGTGGATCACTTGCATCCCTTTGTAGACTGATGCAGCTAGGAAGGCTCTAATTGTAGAATGCTTCACAATTGGTGCAAAGGTTTCTTCGTAGTCTCGGCCAAATTTCTGATTGAACCCTTTTGCTACGAGTCTGGCTTTGTACCGCTCTATTTCTCCTTTGGAATTGAGTTTTTGTTTATAGGTCCATTTACATCCTATGATCTTTTTGTCCTTAGGTAGAGGCGTTAGTTCCCATACATTGTTCTTCTCAAGAGAATTTAGTTCTTCGTTCATTGCTTGTAGCCATTTTTCTCTTTCTATTTTTGGTAATTGTAGGACTTCCGAGTAGTTGGTAGGTGTCTGAATGTCTTGAGCTTCAGTTTTGTACAGCATGTAGTCATTTCTTATGGGAGGTATTCCCTTTGTTGGTCTCGTGGATCTTCTTTGTGTGACCACTTGTGTTCCTGTGCTTGTACCGGGTTGAAGGTAATCCTCGGTTTCTGAGTCCTCAAGGTTTTCGGATTGTGTTCCTGGTTCCTGACTTTCCTCTGCATTACCAATATGATTGGAGGAAGTTAGATCTGTACTTAGTACTTGTGGTGAAGTTGTTTTTGTGGAAGCGAGGTGAAACCCATTTTCTTTTTCTAGAAATTTTACGGATCTGCTGATTGTGATGTTGTCGGTGTCGTGCAGGATTCTGTATCCTTTGCTTCGATCATCGTATCCAAGAAAAATCCCTTCGATAACTTTGCTATCCAACTTGTTTCTTTTTATCTTGGGAATATAGGCGAAGGCTTTACATCCGAATCTTTTTAGATGCTTCAGACTGGGCTTCCTGTTGGTCCATAGTTCAAAATGGAGTCTTGTCTGTAGCTTTCGAGGGTATTCGGTTGTGTAGGTAATTAGCTGTGGTAACCGCTTCCGCCCATAGAGACTGTGGGAGTCCTGAGTCAAACAGCATGCATCTTGTCATCTCCATTAGTGATCGATTTTTCCTTTCTGCTATTCCGTTCTGGGCTGGTGAGTAGGGGACTGTTAGCTGATGTTTGATTCCGCTTTGGTTCAGGAAATCTTCGACTTGTCGGTTTACGTACTCACGACCGTTGTCTGTCCGTATGGTTTGGATATTTTTTCCAAATTCCGTGTGTGCTGAGATGACGTAGTCTTTTATTTTTTCATAGGCTTCGTCTTTTCCTTTCAGGAGGTAGATCTTCGTGTATCTGCTGTAGTCATCAGTGAAGGTGATGAAGTATCTCTTACCGCTGAGAGAGTTAGTTGGTAATGGACCGCAGATATCACTGTGGACAAGTTGAAGCGTTTCAGTTGCTCTGTACTCTGTCTCCTTTGGAAATGGGGTTTCGGTGAGTTTTCCTTGAATGCACTGAACGCAGTCTGTGCTGTGCGAACAGTTATTTAGACTTAGTCCTCTTGCTAGGTTCTCATTTCGAATCTTCTTAATTGATTCTATATTTCTGTGTCCTAGTCTGTCGTGCCAGAGCATGAGGCAATTTTTGTTCTTGCAGTGGTTTTGTTTTGCAACATTTGCTTTGAATGTGCGAGTTTGGGGGTTGTCATCCAGGTGGAGTCGGTACATTCCATTGTCAAGTATACCGTTCGCGAGGGCTGTGTTGTCTCTTTCGATGGTACACCAATCTCTGTTGAACGTTACTTTACATCCGTTGGAGGTGGCCGCACTCACTGACAGAAGGTTGTCTGTTAGTTCCGGGATGTAGAGAACTTTTGTGAGAAGTAAGGTGTCAGTCTTTCTTTGGGGTGTGATGACTTTGATTTCTCCTTGTCCTATCCCTTTGACCTGCAGCTTATTGCCATTAGCAACCACAACATTTTGTGTTTGTTCTCTGTTAAGTTCCGTGAAGAAGCTTTCATCGTACGCCATATGAGATGTGGCTCCAGAGTCGACGAACCAGTTGTGTACACTTGCTTCTCGTTGAGTGCAATTGAGAGCTTTTGGGTTAGGTCCTTTTGTTGTTCTCTGATTTGTTGATTGTTCTTGGGTGACACTCGACTGATTTGTGTACTTTGGTACGTTTCCTCTTCTGAAGTTTTCATATTTGTACTCTTTGTTGCTGTTGTTTCGCTTTTGATAGTGCCAACATTCTTCTTTGGAGTGGTTTGGTTTGTGGCAGAAAGAACAGAATTTCTTCTCTTTTTCTCTTCTTTGGCTTGAAGCTCTGTGGAGGCTTTTTAAGGCTTTTGATGCGGTGCTTTCGTCTTTCGAGCTTTCTACTCTGCGTGTGTGTTCATCAAGGAGTTTGTTCTTGGTAAATTCAAGCGTTAGTTCGTCATCAGGCCTTGATTCCAACATCGTGATGAGATTTGAGTAGCTCTTTGGAAGCGAGCAAAGCAGTATAGCCGTGATGTGAGAGTCCTTTAGTGTTTCGCCAATGGTTCGCAGTTTGTCAACAAGTTCCATCATGGTAGTGATGTGCTGTTGCATGTCTTTGTCTTCTTCGAGTTTTAAGCTGTATAGTTTCCTTAGCAAATAAATTTTTCCTGAGAGTGTTTTTCTTTCATAGATATTTTTAAGAGTGTCCCAGGTAGCTTTGGCTGTTAGTAGGTTTTTGACATGCACTATTTGTGAGTCGGCGATGCTTAGATTAATGATAGCTCTAGCTTTTGAGTCTTTCTTTTTCCATTCGATTTTAGGTTCATCTGGAATATTTTCGGTGACAACTTCCCAAAGATCTTCCTTTTGCAAGAGCATTTCAATTTTGAAAGACCATAGTGAGTAGTTATGGCCGTCGAGCTTATTTAGGGTTACATCGTGGCTCGGGAGTGACGCCATTTTTGCTAAGCCTTTTTTCTTTGTCTTAACTCGTTAGTTGAATTTCATGCAATATTCAGTCTCATAATCTAATTGTTGTAAGATTTAGGTACTTACAGCTTGTAGGAAGGCATGAGGACGTTGAGGATTATATGATAATAATCTTTATTATCCATTTGGCAAGAAAAGACAAAGTTATGGTAGCGAACAGTTATTGTAATATAGAGAAGAAGGTAAACAAAACAGTTGTGATGATGATAGGTCCAGTGTGGCGCTAGCTGTCGTAGCATTCAGTTATCCAACAGATATATTTTGGAAATGAAACTATTTTCTAACAAACAACTTTGTTCCATTGTTGATTGAGAGCTATAAAATAACCCTTGGATGTGGTAATATAAATTTCAAAAAATATATACACACTAGATTTCAAATTAAAAATGATTTTTCATAAATAAAAGAAACTTATGCGGTTAAACTGGTTGTATAGCTTTATACTAGATTTCAGTATATATCATCATTTTAATGCGTATTACAGTCCCAAATGTATATAAAACTCAACGCTAGAGCGTTTAATTCTTACATTTAATAGAGGAAAAGAAAAAATATATTTAAAAAAAAA